GGGGGGAATGTAGGGGGATCCACATTCCCAGTGGACAGGGCTCTTTTCAGAGGCAAGGCTGAATCCAGCCCCTTCTTCAAGCAGACATGGAAAACTGGTAGGTACAGCAGCACGCCCCAACACACCTTCCGCTACGCGGGCATGCTCTCCCCAGGATGACCCTGTGTTCTAGAATCACCACATCTCAGGGCAGGCCAACAGCAGAGTCCCGAGAGTGTCGTTAGAGAAAGCCAAGGAATGCAGATCTCAGCACTTGGGGACCCGGCCAGCAGTACGATGGGCAAGACTGGTGGCTGGACAGGAACAGTCAAACTCGGTGGAACATAAAGTAGCAAAATGGCAACAAAGGACACTGTGCATTAATCTGCTCCATGGTTTTTCTCCTCATAATTGTCAGGCACCAGGATTTTATGAAGAAGCTGCAAACTCCCTCCTCCATAATTTATACCCTGCCTTGCCTCTTATAAATCACCTCCCAGGGACTCTGAGTTCCTGGGCTACCCCATGGCGCCCTCCCAGGCTAGGCTGTCTCGCTACCTTTTTTATAGGCTCTCTGCTAAGAAAGACACATTTTCCCACTTAATATGCATGAAGGGCAGCCATTATTTCCAGCTTTTTAAGTTAATTAACAGTAACAATCTGGGTGCAGTGTTTTAACTACAAAGGAGTGGATTCCTCTCCAAGTTGACCTGTGGGTGGACAACCCCAAGGGCCATCCATGGGCCACCTAGTTAGTATATGAGATTCCTCATGCAGGACGCTCCTGGAGGAAGGGATTCTTTCCGTCTGTAGCAGCCTGGGGCGGTTAGCACCCTGGGCAGAAGGAGACAGGCGAGGGGTCATCAGGGTGGATTGAGGGAGGGTGGTTTTGTGCAATTTTCTGCTCTGCCCCTAGGAAAGGGAACGGAATAAAGGGCAAAAGAAATCCCTGAGTATATGGCAGAGGTCTGGGGAGGAAGGTCCTGTAGACCCCACGGAGCCCATCGAGGAAGAAGAAAACAAAATGATCAAGGTGAGCAGACAATGGGGATGATGGAGAGAAGAAGCTCAGAGCAGGCATGCCTTCCCCTGCCTGGCGAGGAGGCAGGGCCCACGAGCCACAGTGAGCCTCAGAATGTCCCAGGATGCAGCAGTGAACAAGACATCCATCCTCATAGGGAGAGACAGACTCCAAAAACTAAATTAGATAAATCAACCATTTTAGGCACCAGATAAGGAAGTAGGAGGGAGAGTGACTGAGTAGGGTTTGGGGGGCTGCTTTGTCCCCAAGATGGGTCAGGGAAGGCCTCCTGGAGGAGATGACATTTGATTTGAAACCTGAATGAAGGGAAGGAGCCACTTGTGCAAAGAGCTGGAGCAAGGGCCTCGCAGAAGAAGGAACAGCGAGTGCAAAGGCAGAGGAGTGCTGGTGGGCTCCAAGCCCTTGTGGCAGGAGTGAGCCGAGAGGGCGAGAGGGCCAGAGGGCAGCGTAGCCCGCCCAAGCAGGGCCTGCCTGCAGCACCACTGGGGATTCAACGCAGGGAAGTCACCAGAGCCCACTTAGAGCCAGGGCAGCACAAGTGGAGGCCAGAGGCCAGCAGGAGGCGCTACGGTCCTCAGGAGAGAGGTGATGAGGGCGCCAGTTCCTCCCCTCCCAGACAGACACCCAGGAGCCAGCCCTGGGCCTCAACACCCAGGGCCGATCGTGGGGGCTGTTGAGTTTGTCCTGTGAGCTATTTTATTTCAGACTCGTTTATTTGGGTGATCAAGAAATGAGCCCCTACTAGGTGTGAGGCACCGTTCCAGGCACTGGCGACAGGGTAGTGAACAGACAAAATCCCCGCCCTTTGGAGCTCACACTCCATAGGGAAGCAGAAACAAGATCCTAGGACGACTGAAACAGACCACAAACAAGGTAAAGACAGCAAGCAAACTCGGGAGTGTGGCAGGCAGCGACACGTGCCACTGAGGGAAACAGAGCCGCCAGGAGATGCAGCGGGTTATGAGTCCATGGGGAACAGCAGGCTTCTTAGGAGAAGGCAGCAGCACAAAGACCGAAGAGAGCAAGGCAGTGACCACAGGGATTTGGGGGGAAGAGGCTTCCAGGCGGAAGGAGCAGCCAGCACAAGGTCCTGAGGCAGGAAAGGGCCTGGTGCATTAAGGAAGAGTAAGGAGGCCAGAGACTGATGCGGGGGTGGGGGACGACTGTGGACTTCACAGGCCACTGGACCGTCCATTCACTCTGCTGAAGTGGGAGCCCTGGGGGGCTTTGGAGCAGAGGAGGGACAGGATCTGATTTACATTTTAAAGGGGTCTCTCCAGCTGCGGAGAACAGGCTGAAGGGACAGGACAAAGGCAGAATTAGAGAGGCCGCTGAGGAGGCTGCTACAGCATAAGAGAGACAGAGAAAAAGAGAAGGAGAGTTGGCCGCACGTGGTCTAGGTGAAGGCAGGGCAAAGAGGTTGGATTTGGGAATTTTTTTTTTTTTTTTTGAGACAGAGTCTTTTACTGTTGCTGCCAGACTGGAGCAATGGCACAACCTCGGCTCACCGACACCTCCGCCTCCTGGATTCAAGCAATTCTCCTGCCTCAGCCTCCCTAGTAGCTGGGATTATAGGCATGCACCACCACGCCCGGCTAATTTTGTATTTTTAGTAGAGATGGGGTTTCTTCATGTTGGTTTGGCTGGTTTCGAACTCCTGACCTCAGGTGATCCACCTGCCTCCACCTCCCAAAGTACTGAGATTACAGGCGTGAGCCACTGTGCCGGCTGGGTTTTAGAAATATTTTAGAGGTAGAAGCCCACAGGATTTGCTGAAAGAATAGATATAGGACGTAAGGAAAAAGTGAAAACTGACTTCAAGGGTTTGGGCCAGAATACATGAAAGGCAGATTTGCCAGTCACGGAGACAGTGAAGTCTGTGGTTGGCTGCAGGATGGCAGGAGGAAGGTCAGGATGTCAGACCGAGCCTGAAAACTCTGAGAAGCTCTCTGGCATCCAAGCAGCGACACTGCCCGGGCAAGGGGACATACAAGTTTGCAGCTCAGGAGCCAGGTGCGGGCTGGAGGCACACAATGCAGGAGTCATCCATGGCTAGAGGGCATTTCAAGCTCGGTGTGGGTGAGCCATTCGAGGGGCAGGTGTGGGTGGAGGAGGAGAGGCCCAGGCCTGAGGGTGGGTCGCTTCCACATAAAGGGGCCTGAGGGGGAGAAGACTGAGATCCAGAGAGCAGGGGTCTTGTCACCGCCACACAGGAGTCAGGGCAGAACCCAGCTGGACTTCCACCTCTACCGGACACAGGCAGTGACCTTTCCAGATGCTATCGGGCCCAGAAAACAACCTGGTGCCATCACCACACTCGGCACTCAGTGAGGTGGGGCTCCCTTCCCCACATCCACTCCCAGCTCCTTGGGCTCCCGCGGAGGGAGCTGGGAGGGGGTCCAGCAGCTGGCAAACGGGCAGCACACTCAGAATTGCCTCCTGCACCTGAGTGAGGCACTAATGCCAAGGTTGCCCAGAGATATGGTATGTCCATGCAGACTTCCCGGGAGGGTTGGGTGAGGCACCTCTCACCTCTTTCCATCTCCCAGAACCACGACACGCAGAGCTGGGAGGGCCCTTTGGGATTGCCCAGTCCAGGCTCCTCATGTTCAAGTGAGACCCTGTGAAAGGGTCTAGAGGGAGAGGCAGAACCACAGCCAAGGACGGCATAGGCAGGACCCACTGGAGCCCTTCAGATGCCCTTCAGGTGCCCTGAGCCCCCAAGGGTCTAGGAAGCCCATTCCTCCACCCCAGGGGGCCCGGTGGGGGGCAGGAGGCAGGGGAAGGGGTGCTGGGGCTCCTCCAGGGCAACTCTCCCAAGAGGCCAGGAGTCTCCCAGTCTGCCAGCTACTTTGTGCAGCAAAGCCATTGACCCGGGAAGCTCTGGGGGGCTGTGGAGAGATCCATCAGCACCCTAGGCTCTGCCTCGAGGCTGCAGCTGCCCCTTTGGTGGAGAGCCTCCAGACAGCACGAGGAAAGGGAGCTAGAGATCCTGGGCACAGACCCTGGAGCCAGGCCCCTTGGGTGTAACGTCTTCGTCCTCTGCTCCTTACCACTTGTGTGGCCTTGAGCACATGACTCAACCTCATTGTCGTCAGTTTCCTCATCTGCAAAATGGGAACACTAACCATCCCTGCCCCACAGAGCTATTGAGAGGTTAATATACATAAAGCGCTTAGAATGGCAGATGGGTGAGGCTCCATGATGTTGGCTATTATCGTTGAGGGGGGAGTGAATTCCCTCCCCCTAAGAAAAGACTGCTGGGATTCCTGCTGACCCCACGCCTCCTGTCCCAATTTCCCCATTAGGGAAGGTGTGATGATCCTCTCAGCAGGACTCAGCGACCTTCAGGATCCAAACCTCTGGTTAGAATTAGGGGAAGGTGGCAGAACTCCCAGCCATCCCTAGGGGGGTCCACAGGCTGGCGTGGCTCCCATGGGTCCCTCCTGCCACCTGTAGGACACCCAGGGGTTAAGGGCCCTCTCCACACCTCTCCCTTGTTGTTAACACTGCCTTATTTCACAGCTAACTGCTCCTGTGGAAATTGGAATAAGGATGAACTCCAGGCAGCTGGAAAAGTACCGGGCCACCCTGGAAGGGCTGCTGAGCGAGAAGCGGCCCCAGCACGGTACAGGGAGGGGGGGCGTCTCTGCGGCTAGGCCGGCCTCCGCCCGCCCTGGCATTAATACTCCAGAGGCAGGGTTTCAGGGTGGGATTTGCTTGGCTGCTTTGCACTTGAGAATGTGAAGCTGTCTTCTCCCTGCGCTATGCTGCAATACCTGCTGGTGGCTGTGGAGTCCCAGTTCTCCAGGGAGGGGCTTCTCAGGCGGGGTTCCCATTAACCCACCCCACTCCCTGCTCCAGATATTTTCACTCCCTCCCAAAATACCACCACAGGGTGATTGCTCCGAAGGAAACCTTGGTGCGGTTTTCCCCCGCCCATTCGTTCTGCAAATTAAAATCCTCAGCCCCATTTGGCCTTGCCCAGTTCAAGGTCTGCCCGAGTTACTTGAGCAAGGCTAGATCTCCACTGACAAACAGCCACTAATTACTTCTCGTAGTCCCCAGGAGAGGAGAGACTCAAGGAAGTGCTGTTAGAGATGGAGAAACTGAGAGGTTAAATGACTTGCCCCAGGCTACAGACAGCTTCCAGGCTCCCTGTAAAACCTCCCACCCTCCTGCCCAGCCTACCCTGCTGCCCCCTCCTCCCTCCAACCTGCAGCCAGGTTGCAGAGGGCGGCTTCATAAGCAGACCTGCTGACGGTACTGAGCTGCAAACCTCTGCTTTTCCCCAGCAACCAAGTGACAGCCACGCTGGGAAGAAGGTGGACAGATTTGGGAGGCCTCTCCCACCTGAGTGAGGCCCTGGGAATTTGCACAGCCTGCCAGCTGGGCCTGGAAGGAAAACACCCTTTCCAAAGCAAATCCCCCTCCAGCAAATAAAGCATGAAATATACAGAAATGACTCTTATTTAATATTTTAATTTCCAAAGGGCAAACTCAGGTCTCGAGAAAAAGGGGGGAAAGTGAAGCTCAGAGAAAGTGGGCCACAAAAGATGCTTTGCATTAGCATTCTGTGCTTTTGTGAGTTCTAAGTTCAAATAGTAACTCACATCCAAACAACTGGAAGACTCTCACTGGCCCTTCCATGACAGGTGAGGAAACTGATCATTTTTTGCCCACACATGGAGTCAGTGACAGAGTGAGGACTGGAATTCAGGTCTCCCAGGTCTCGGTCCATTTGTAGTTTACTGACACGCTCAAGGTCTAACGGGTCAGAGAATTTTAGGGCCTCTGCACTCAACCCCTTGCTGAGTAACTTCCAGCCAGCCCTTTAACCTCAATGAGCCTGTGCAAAACCAAGGTGGTAATATCCGCCTTGAGATCTGGGATGGAGGCACGGGCAGAGAGCAAATCACTGTTATTATCACCTTGTGACTACCAGCTCCAGCATCCGCAGCAAAATTACACAGCCAACCCACTTATTTCTGCCTTCTCAACAAAACTGGATGGGAAATTTCATTCTACTTTAATTTTACATTAATGAATGCTCATTTATTTATAAACTAGGGCCACATCAGAACTGCAGCTCCCCCCATCCATAGGTTATCAGCAATTAGACACGGTGTCCATTCTGCATTTCCACCTGGGCTTAGCCACAGAAAGAGTCACCAGAAGAACTCCAATGCTAAACAAGGGATCCTCGTTTGAGGTGCTCTGACTTCTCCTGAGAAACACCCAAACTTTGCATGGGCCCCCACCCCGGTCATGCTGCACATTCACACACACTTCCAGCACATATCCTGATCAACCCCGGAGCGGCCACCCGTTCCCAGGAAATGCTGCCAAGACGCCCTGTAATAGAGAGAGAGAGAGAGAGAGAGAGAGGGCTGCGGCAGGAGGGCATGCAGGGGGCGGCGGGGGAGACACGGAAATCTATAAAGCCTGCTGCCGGGGAAGTTCTGGATCCAAGACTCCTCCCTGCCTTTCCAAGCTCCATGCCAGTTCACCCCATGTTCTGTAACACACTCCAAGACGCAGAGAAACGAGATTGCTCACGGCGGTCCCTTTCCCTGGGGAAAACCTCACCCTCAGCTGGAATCTGTCCCTGTAGCAAGACCGCCTTTCCCCATCACCAGCAGGGGGTGCCCATTTCTGGGGCGTAGCCCCAACACCGGCTGGGAAATTTTCCCTGAGATTCTGGGTGTGGAAGAGCCTCTCGTTGAAACAGACACCCACCTCGGAGGGACATGGAGCCCCCAGGAGACTCTGCCCAGGCGGTCTGCACTGTTTAGGTGGGAACTGGTTCCACAGCTACAGCACAGGGAAGGGAGAGGGTACTGTCCTTTCTGCAGAAAAGCCCCGTTCAAAGCTCAGCGCTGCCTCCCAACAGCCCCGACCCTCACCCCGCGGCCTCTGATGTGCTTCTTGGTAATGAGCTGCAACAGGGACCCCGCTACCACCTACATCTGTATGCACAGTGCCCTGGCCGCTTGTTTAGATGTGTCGGCTCCTTTCTTCTCTCCTTTTCCTCCTCCTGCCACTGTTCGATTTCTCGCAATCGGCTCAAATAATTCTTTTTTCACCAACAAGCCCTCCAGTTTCCAGGACAGCCGACTCGATTGCTTATGGGATATCCACAGCCTTGGAAGAAATTAAAACTGGGAGTAGATTGGGGAGGATTCTGTGAGCTGAGTATAAAGAAAATGACCATGTTTTCAGAAAACAGAAGAAAAGAGACATGCTCCTGCTTAAAGCAAGAGAATAAGTAGGACTGGAGACCAGCCAGGAACAGAGACAGGGAGGGTGCCCAGAGTAACCAGGAGATTACTGGCAAAGATGCCATTCCTGCAGAAAAGCCCCCGGAGGTCGGGATTAGCCCGTGTTCATCTGGAATGCCCCTTACACTTAACAGTACCACAGGTCTTGACAGCACAACTTAAACCTAGCTTCACAAAATGGAGATGATGAGGTATTTTCTGGGTAACCACATCAGTGTGACTTTAGCATTACTGAGCTATGTGGATTTGCCATGAAATTGAATAGTTAAAAGCAAAGAGTAGGCTGGGTGCTATGGCTCATGCCTGTAATCCCAGCACTTTGGGAGGCTGAGGTGGGCGGATCACCTGAGGTCAGGAGTTCAAGACCAGCCTGGCCAACATGGTGAAACCCTTTCTCTACTAAAAATGCAAAAATTAGCCAGGTCTAGGGGCTCATGCCTGTAATCCCAGCTACTCAGGAGGCTGAGACAGGAGAATCGCTTGAACAGGGGAGGCGGAGGTTGCAGTGAGCTGAGATTGCTCCACTGTACTCCAGCCTGGGCAACAAAGAATGAAACTCCATCTAAAGAAAAAAAAAGTAAAAAAAAGCAAAGAGTAATTGCCTGCTATCTGTAAGCTGTAATTTAATCTAATCATGGACAAAGCCCCAAAGAAAATATTCTCAAAGCATTACATTTTTCTTCATACACAATTTGTTATTGACATTGGGTAATGTATTTCATGCCTTTAAAGGAACTCTTACTCATGGATATCAAAGTGTGAGAGCAGTCAGAAGAGTGAGAGATCTGTTTAATTTTCAACAGCGTATGAAATACCATTCTGGCAATGCTCTGTGACTCCATTTCCCCCCTTAGCTGACGCACCCCCAGACCTAGAGAGAGACAAAAAGAGTACCCTCCTCTTCCATAAGGCACTGAGATGGAGCAACAAGAAGCTGGGTGCTCCTGGGGTCATTCCAGTCCAAATCTGAGACCCAGATGGCCCCCCCTTTTCAAACACAGTCTCCCAGTGCCCTGCCCCCACTGTAATGCCACCTATGATGTAGTTTGAAGGAAGCCCTGAGTAGCTGAGGCGATATATGAGGCCCTTGATGAGGTGGATCAAGGACGAGTCCCTGGTCCCTGAGTATCTTTGAGGACCTGATAAATGCATGCAGGGCTTTTTGCAGGAGGAGGAGAATGGAACCCACTAAAAGATTTATAGCTGTGATTATTATAAGGCTCTGCCAAGACAGAGAGAGGTCAGCGGGACGGAGGGGAGCGTGGCAGCCCTCCGGGAATCCAGAGCGTGCTCCGAGCAGCCCTTCACCTCTGCTAAATGTGTGGATGTGGTTACTAAGCAGATTTAGACATTGGAGCTTCTTTTTCCTCCTCCGCCTTTAATACATCAGGAAGACCGACCACAGCCTGAGCTGCTGCTCACCTTAAAAAAAAAACATCCCACAGCAAAATGACGAGAAAGGAGGGCATGCAGAGCAGCCTCTGACTTTGCAATACTGCCCTTTTCTTTACAATATGCCTTCCCATGGTGGACAGGCCCAGCAGGAGAGCCAGGCTGAAGGCACAGAAAGGCTGGCTCCTAGAAGCCCCGGCGGGCTTCGTGGGCAGCTCCTGAAGGGGCAGCGGTGGCAAAGAAGAGCTGAGGTCGAGCCCTTCCAAGTGGAGGGGAGTGTGTGGATGGTTGTGCGGAGGAAAGCAAAAAGCAACACGCCAACTTCACTAAACCAAAGAGGCTATAAATCTGAGCAGGAACGTGACTGGAGCGGCGAGTTCAGGATAAACTGGGAGGAACGCCTGGCTAACTTGCAAGGTTCCTTCTCAGAGACAGCAGGGAAGGGAAGCATTGATCAGCAAATTCGCTGTTAAGTGGCCGCTGGGTGCCCCTTGGTGCACGCCCACACGCTTGCCTGTAAGATCCTGCCAAACAAGACCATCAACAGCCAGAAGCCACCGTGGAGGTAGGAGAGCTGGCCATGGGTGGCCAAGGCTCACAACTGCAAGCACAGTGGTTCTGTGCCGGAGGGAAGACAACAGCGTTCTGGGGGAGGGACTGTGGGCCACCTGACCCTGGATGTGTGGAGCGACAGCAGTGTCCCCAAACACAAGGAAGCCGACAAAGCCCACACTGCGTGCCACCACTGGGGTGGCTCCAGCTCAGTCCGTATTTTTAAATCGCCCTGAGATCCATTGTGATAAAATAGACCATAACTCTGTGAAATGGTGTAACGATAACTTTGTTTAAGCATTAGTTTCAAGCCCTCTTAGAATACGTGGGGCCAGTACTGATGCTGAAAGGCTCATTCTTTATATATTGAACCACACAGCTGCCAGGAGTTGCACAAATGTTACCAACTCATTTGTCATGCAAACAGTGCTTCAGAAAGAAATAAAATACTATTATGTGGTATATGTGTTAGGCAATCACTATATCAAATTCATGGCATTCCGTGCAAACACAGGCAGAGAAAAGGAAAACAACACTTGGTGAGAGAAATCACACCACATGGGAGCAGCTAAGTCCGGGGAGATGGGGAGGCTAACAGCAGAAGCTGACCAAGCCGAGGCTGTAATTTTCCCAGCAATTGTGGCCCGTGTTGAACACCCTTGAAGTGGAGCAAGTGGCAGGAATGCAAAACCTGGACAGAGCATAGCGGTGCCCAGGGTGCCAGGGAGGGGAGGGATCTAGTGGGGAGTGGGCAAGGGGGCTGTTGGGACAGGAATCCAAGGGGATTCCAGGGAGGAGGGGCCTGGGGGAAAGGGAGATTGGAACCGCAGGGGTAGAAATGGATGGAACCTATTGGGCCAGCAATAAATGTTTGGGAATGGGAGTGGAAGGAAGATTATAAACTGGCTCTATTTCCAGTTGCCACAGCTTCCCTTGCTTCCCTTAGGGGATTCCTGCTAAGAGCCTTCATTTCATGTAACCAAATCACCTGCCCTGTGGGAGGCTCTACACAACACCGGAGACTGCAAAGATGTGGGTTCAGTATAAACACACACGAGCGTGTGCCAGGCACTGTCCCAAGCACCTTAGCCAAACTACCTGTTCTAATCCTCACAGCGACTCCTTGAGGTTTACGGGAAAACAGGTAGCAATGTTAACAGTATGCTCACACATCTAATAGTTGTGAATAGGGATTTGAAATCAAAGTGTCTGGCTCCAAAACCCACATCCTAAACCA